CAGATTCAGCTGCTGTTGAAACTGATCAGTTTCAGCAGCAGCTGAATCTGGACGCCAGTACCAACTTACATACAGATTCAACTTAAGAACAAACCTACAGTCCCTATCTTGTACGTAACCCGGGGACTGCCTGTATATCATACAAGTACTTGAATAGCATATGCAGAATCAGTAGATCGTAAACTTTCATTTGACACCTCACATGATCCCCTTTGTACAGACTTTGGGGCAAACTCCCCACCCGCCATAGGTGCAGCAGTAACCTGTCTGAACCCCTTAAAATCCAGTAATGTGACAACCAGTCAATCACTTTAGAGCTCAGATAAACAGTGAAGAAATGCCTCCATTGTTCCCTCTGATTTTACCACCTTTACATGTACTGATTTGCACTTTCCTCTGTGAGGCGTTTCATTGATTTCACAGAGGAAGGTACGTTGATCTCAGTGATTTCAGTGAGTGTCATTGTAAAAGTATGTCTCGGTGCAAGGGGGGGGGGAGAATCAGAATAATTGGGTGAGATGTTTAACTCAGTTTGACATTCAATAGCACATAAATGTGCTGTTCACTGTATCATAACAGGTCTCACCTACTTCCAATTTACTATGGTTTGCCTTGCTATTCACCTATCAAATTTTTAATGCTGCTTTAGACACTTAAAAAAGTCTGAACTATGGGCATGTCTGAACTATGGGATGAGGTCAAATTAAGATACACAACTTCAGCTACTTTAATTGCATGGCTGAAGTTGAAGTACTTTAATTCAGCTTTTGGTACTGTCCACACTGCAGAAACCGAAGAGAGAATACTCTCCTTTTGTCTTCCGTTGCTCCTTGTGGAAGCAGGACTACCGGCATGGATGGGAGTGCCCCTCTCAGTTCAAATTAGCGGGTCTTCTCTAGACCCCCTAATTAGAACACTGGAAGATCAACAGCAGCAGCTTCGATCTCCTCTGTAGTGCAGACATGCCCATAGTGAATTACCATATTTTCCGGCGTATAAGGCTACTGGGCGTATAAGACGACCCCCTAATTTTTTAGTTAAAAGATAGGTTTTCGTCTTATACCCCAGCGCCCCTCGCCTCCCCGGCTTTGCTCCCGGTGTCCCTGGTCTGCTGGAGACGGTCCCCAGCAGACATGGGGCACCCGGAGCAGCTTTGCAGCCCAGGCGCGCCTGGAATGCCCCGCCGCCGGCTTCCCCCGAGGCTTTGCAAAGCCGCAAAGCTGTATACCCGGCGTATAAGATGACACCCGATTTTTGGGGGATGTTTTTTAACCTCAAAAGTCATCTTATACGCCGGAAAATACGGTAAAATATTACTTATGAAATTGTGTGGTAAGACTGAAAGTACCAACAAAGAAGTCAGCTTTATTCTTCAGTGCTCTAGCCTTATGCTTTATTTCACATAGTTTGTTTAAGTATCCCACTAGCCTTTACTCAATCATTTTATTTAGTTAGTTCTTTTATTTATCCAAGTTAGGAAACTTGCTTTAAAATAATGTTCATTTCAGGATCTCAGAGGCGCTGTGCTGAAAATCTGCAAATTCTTAGGAAAGCAGCTAACAGAAAATGAGCTGGACACAGTTGTGGAAATGGCTTCATTTGATAACATGAAATGGGATGCCAGGGCAAATTATGAAAACATGCCAGAAAGTTTCCTGGAACAAGGCAAAGGACATTTTCTTCGCAAAGGTAAAGCATGCGCAGCCAAGCCTAATCAATATTTAATCTTCCTAATCCTGGTTAGGTCGTGTTGAGGCTAGCCACCGAGGACTTTCAAACACAACTTTCTGTACTTGGGAAATAACTGGCTTTAAGGCACTAAGAATGTTATTTCCTAAGTGTTTGCTGAGAAAGAGCTGGACAAAAACTGGTGAAAAGGTTTAATGAGAAAAGTGTCAGTATTTCAATAAATGAAAATTGTCAATAAGCTCTTTTGGAAGGTAAAATTCATTTTGTGCCACATGTAAAAGGGAAAGGTCTTCTTCAAGATATTAATAATATGTGAACATTAGAAGAAAATGGAAAGCAGTTCTGTGTAGTGCGTCTGTGAAACTTCAGATACGGGGTATTGGAACTGAGTTGACTCTGCAGTTTCTAGTAATAATTTAGAGCACAGAATTAACCACACAGAGAAAATCTAAGGGCGCATCTACACAGCACCCTGATCTCAAAATAAGATACACAATTTGCACTATGCAAATTGCATCTCTTATTTTGAATCTATTTTGAAACAGTTTATTTTGAAATTTGGTGAATCTACACAGCGCCAAATTTTGAAATAACGTTCTTTTCCAATACATCCCTTAACTCTTGTGCAAAGAGGGTTACCCGGATGCCAAAGTAGCATGTCCATTATTTCTAAAATATTTTGGAATAATGAGTGGCTTGTTAAGACACAGGGTAGTTATTTTGGGATACCTGCAGTATCCCAAAAAGAGATGTGCTGTGTAGATATACCCTTGGGGATGAGTATTTGTATGCTGTGCCCCTTATATGGCAGAGGCATGAATAGAGTCAGGAGTTTGGGTCCCCCCTCTCTTCTGATACTGCTGAACGAGAGGGGGATGCAGCTAAATAGGAGTGGGCACAGTGGTATGGAAATGGTAGAGAACTACTGCCTGCCACCTAATACTCATTAAAAGGACTTTCAGGGACGCTCAAATTTCCTTTAAGAAATAATGACTTCCTGTTTCAATTTTTCTTCTAAAATTTGCAGTGACATAAATCAGTACAAGGAGATAGGAACTGAAATGTATAAAACTACTGGTGCATAAAGCAGAATTAGTGAAATCATCTAGAAAGAGCAGGTCAAACTAGTTACACTGCAGTCAAGGTTAAACCAAGAATGAATTTGGCCCATTATAGATTTCTCCAAGAGCACTGCTGGAGTTCACAAAGAACAGAGTCACAGTTTTTGCCAGAGTCATGTGTTTCATCAGAGGGAAAGCATTCTCTGATAAGGCTGCTGACATGTGTAACATACAAGGCACGCCAATAAAACATTTGCCCAGCCCATCAAATGGACACTAACTGGTATATTTTTAATGCCATGAAAGATAGAAGTATGACTCCACTTGAAAAAATACTCTAGGGGGTGTTTTTACTGTATTTATTCAGCCCTCCAGGTTTGGAAATGTACCTCCAAAACCCCAGGGAGCTACGTTCTGGGGAGATGAGAGAGGAAGGACCTATCTGGGGAGAAAAGGGATTGAACCCAACCAGCAGCAGTCACAGCCTCTAACCTGCACAAACGATATCAGATTATAATAAAATCTGCAAGTGGCCTCTAATTCCCAATTCAAAGTCTGTGTCTCCTGCCCCAGGGACCATTGGAGACTGGAAGAACACAATGACTGTGGCGCAGAGTGAAAGGTTTGACAGCGTTTTTAAGGAAAAAATGAAAGAGCTGCCTTTCAAGTTCATCTGGGATATTAATGAAGATCTCTAGTGTGGGCTCAGTTGGAGACAGGTGACAGTATGCCACAGGGAATGAAAACATCTCTTTGTCATGGGTGTTCATAAAAATCCATTGTTCTGCGCAATTAAAGATTTGAAACCTGCAAAATTTTGTACCTCTCATATGTATTTGCACATCATAGTGATAACCCAGTTCTAAGGAAAGGTGCCCTGTTCTGTCCCAGCTGTCCTGCAAACCTCAGCCCCTGATCTGCCCTGAGGCTGTGGCTGACAGCCTGGATACCAACAACCTGCAGAAAGACATGTAGAGTTCTGAATATCTGTGTGCTACGCTGTCCTATGTCAGCACTCTGACTCCAGCTAACACAAGAGCCCCATTCAAGTCTTGGTCACCCTCTTATCTTGTGCACACTGACCGAAACACACTCCAAGTCCTGAGAGTAGGCCGCAGTAAGTGAAGGGTGAGGGGTGCTCCAGGTCAGTCAAGGGGATGCAGCCCTCTCCTCACCATCCTTCAATCAGTTAACCAATTAAATGAGAGTTTACATCCATACTAGAGATAATATACCCATTATTGTCCATCTGAGCAGCTGGGGAAAGCCATTCCAAACCTTTTTAGTTCCCCTTCCACCTGGCAGACCAAAGAGTATTTCTGTGAGTGGGGACATTTCCATTAGCATTTCAAACACAGTTTTCTGGCATTCTGCACAGGGCAGATACTTTGATTAAGGGATCTGTCTGTCTTAGGGCTACATTTTAGCAACAGGAACTGTATTTATCAGCCTTGATGGTGTTCTTCTCAACTTGCTTCTGCTCGCCCAATATCTCTGGAGACTCTGTTTCTGCTTCTTTTCATGTTTTCCCAAGAGCTGCTCTTAGATACTCTATCTGTTCGAATGTTAAAACAAGTAGAAGCTCAACAGGACAAATGCCTGTGTTGACACCTCAGCATGAGTTGGTAAGGTGTCAAAAGGCAGAAGAGCTGGCTTCACCTGCATTTCCTGGGGTATGTCTACACTGTCACCCCAGTTCGAACTAGGCTGGCTAATGTAGTCATTTGAACTTGCAAATGAAGCCTGGGATTAAGATATCCCGGGCTTTATTTGCATGTTTCTGGGTGCCAACATTTTTAAATGCCCGGTAGTTCGGACTCCCTGCCGTGCTACACGTGACATGGGATAGGTAGTTCGAATTAAAGCTCCTAATTCGAACTACCGTTACTCCTCATTGTAGGAGGAGTAACGGTAGTTCGAATTAGGAGCTTTAATTCAAACTACCTAGTCCATGCTGTGTGTAGCTGTGGGCAGGGAGTCCGAACTACCGGGTATTTAAAAATGGCGGCACCCGGGAACATGCAAATAAAGCCCGGGATATTTTAATCCCGGGCTTCATTTGCAAGTTCGAATGACTACATTAGCCACCCTAGTTCGAACTGGGGTGACAGTGTAGACATACCCCTAGAGATAAGGAAGGGTATGTCTACCCCGCTGAATTTCCCGGGCTTCATTAGCATAAAGCCGGCTCCGCCATTTTTAAAAGCCGGCTAGTGCGAACCCCGTGCCACGCGGCTACACGCGGCACGGGCTAGATAGTTAGAACTACGTAGCCATTCCGATCTATCTATACACCTCATTCCACAAGAGAATAGTGAAGTGTGAAGTTATCTGTGTGCGTGTATCAGCTTCTGACATGATCGCCCATGAGCTAGCAGTATCCAAATTCCCATGTAATTTGTGGCAATCTGCTGTAAATATCACAGTGAGTATCTTTATGGCTTCTTCAGAATTCCCATGTGGGAAACCAGTTTCCTTCAGCAACTTCCACAAGATGGGAGAATTTTATTGAATCAAGTTTGACAATGAACACAAGAGTAGCACAATGGTTTTGGTTTTCTAGATTTAGTTTATCAATCCAATTTATTTTTTATTTTATTTATATCCAACCTTTCCAGGCCATCATTGGTGCACAGGGGGAAGGATTGGGCTCAAGCTAGGAGACTGCCTGGTTTGTGAAAAAGATGAGTAGAACTCTTGTTGGGATAAGAATTTGCATGTAGCAAGTTTCTTAGTGTGTTACGCTTAATTAGCATGTTTTGTTTACTCCAGTTTAGCAACTCTTTTTGGTCTGTCCATTTTCACTTGACATCACTTAACTTTTACTTTTTATACTTATAACACCTTTGTTTATCATCAAGACCAGAATAAATAATTGTTAAGTGGGGAGGAGGTGGCACAGCTGTGGCTGTCTCTCTCTCTCTCTCTCATTGATAAAAAGACTTGTGAGATTTCTCCGTGTAAGATTTTTATACCAAAGAAGACAGATTTATTTGGGGTTTTGGTCCCTTTTGCGGGCTGTGCACCTGAATAATGTCAAGGCCCTTTAGCTGAGCCCTCCCAGAGCTAACTTGGTCTGTTTCTTTGTTGCTCTATTGGTGACACTGTTAAGCCCAGCTCTTTGCCTTTGCTGGGGGAATTCAGAGCTTCTGGACCGGCCGGACATAGTGGTGGGAGCACCAGAGGGCAGGTAGTCAGGCTCCGTGGTACGATCGGCATGCCAGGGGACAGCCCCAAGGGGATCTTTGTGATTCTATGTGTCACACTGTGGCTTCCTATTTTCCTATCCACAATGTCACTTTATTCTTGAAGTCTCTGTCACGTAGTAAGGTACTGCCCAGGCAGATGAACTGTTCTGCTTTTTTGATGCTTTGGTCTGCTGCTATGAATATTACTAGTTGATGGCGGAGTTTTCATGATATTTGTTTTAACAGAACTGATTTGAGCCCAGCTAAGCCTGTTGTTATGGTTTTCAGGGGTGTCACTCAGTAGTGCACTATCATCAGCAAATGCCACATCTTCTAGCTATTCGCCACCTGTGTACCAGTATTTGTATGACTAATATGTGTCTTCATTATTCACTCTGTGGCAATGCCAAACAACAGCAGAGATGAAACACACATGAGCCTGTTTCACATGAGTATCCACAATGAACCACTTGGTTGTCTGGTTTTCTATTCTCACAGAGAACACTGAATTACTGCACAAGGCCTTCATGTTGTTGATGGGTTTAGTTGGAATTCTGTAGAACTGACTAATATTTCACAGTGTATGCCCATACAGCCTGTCAGATCATCATCATCATCCTTCACACCCACTGGCATATAGGGCAGCAGGAAAAGGTCCTCCACTTCAATCTGTCTCTGACCAGCCTCTCCATAGTGCCCCAAATGTAATTCATGCTCTTCATTTCTATTTCAATGGTCTGGCGCCATATTGTCTTGGGTCGTCCTTGTTTCCGCTTCCCTTCAGGGGTTCGGTACACAGCAATCTTTGTGATGGAGCTTCCATATTTCTTGATCGCGTGCCCAATCCATCTCCAGAGTCTTTTCATAATGATGGTAGCCATGTCATCTTGTTTACACCATGAAAGTTGTTGTTTTTTCCTCTGAGAGTTACATGATAACTAATAGAGATTGTACTTTTACCTCTAGAATCCACTGGCACCACAGAACGGTACTTTCACCTAGCACAACATATTTGCACTTCTACATCCTGAAAAATTTATTATAGGTCATATGTTCATTGCTTTTGATGGATTAGTGATCCCAAACTTAGAAAAAAGTTGATAGACCCATAGACTAATAGAGTCTATAGCCAGAAGGGAGCATTATGTTGAGAAACTAACACAACAGGTCACAGACTATCCAGTAAGTTCTTGGACTGCACTGAAGACAACTTTTTATTTCAGAAAGTTGAAAAAGCTAATGGGGGGGGAGGGAAGCTGTTCTAGATTTGATTAAAAAAACTAGGGAGGAACTGTTTGAGAATTCGAAAGTGGAAGGCAGCTTGGGTGAAAGTGATATTGAAATCATAGAGTTCATGATTCTAAGGAATGGTACTTGTACAATAAAGGAGAACAGCAAAATAGAGACAATGGATTTCAGGAAGGCAGATTTTGTTTAGCTCAGTGAGCTGGTAGGTAAGGTCCCATGGGAATCATAGAATCATAGAATACTGGGACTGGAAGAGACCTCGAGAGGTCATCGAGTCCAGTCCCCTGCCCTCATGGCAGGACTCAGTACTGTCTAGGCCATTCCTGATAGACATTTATCTAACCTACTCTTAATTAACTCCAGAGATGGAGATTCCACAACCTCCCTAGGTAATTTATTCCAGTGTTTATCCACCCTGGCAGTTAGGAACTTTTTCCTAATGTCCAACCTAAACCTCCCTTGCTGCAGTTTAAACCCATTGCATCTTGTTCTATCCTCTGAGGCTAGGAAGAACAAGTTTTTCCCCTCCTCTTTGTGACACCCTTTTAGATACCTGAAAGCAAGACTAAGGAGAAAAACAACTGAAGAGAGTTGGCAGTTTTTCAAAGGGACATTATTAAGGGTCCAAAAGCAAGCTATTCTATCTAGGAAAGATAGAAAGTATGGCAAGAGACCACCTTGGCTTAACCAGGAGATCTTGCATGGTCTAAAAATAAAAAAGGAGGACTATAAAAAGTGGATACAACAACAAATTACAAAGGATGAATATAAGCAAACAATATAGATATGCAGGGGCAAGATTAGAAAGGCAAAGGCACAAAACGAGATCAAACTAGCTATAGACATAAAGGGAAACAAGAAGACTTTCTATAAATACATTAGAAGCAAGAGGAAGATCAAGGACAGGGTAGGCTCATTGCTCAGTGAGGAGAGAGAAACAGTAACAGGAAACTTGGAAATGATAAGGTGCTTAAGGAGTTCTTTGTTTTGGTCTTGACAAAGAAGTCTGATGATGAAGGAATGCCTAACATAGTGAATGCTAGTGGGAAGGGGATAGATTTAGAAGATAAAATAAAAAAAGAATAAGTTAAAAATCACTTCAAAAACTTAGATGTCTGCAAGTCACCAGGGCCTAATTAAATGCATCCTAGAATACTCAGGGAGCTGATAGCTAAAGGCTCAGAGACCTCCACTATCATCTTTGAAAAATCATGGAAGACGGGAGAGCTTCTGAAGACTGGAAAAGGGCAAATATAGTTCCCATCTATAAAAAGGGAAATAACAGACCTGTCAGTTTAACTTCTGTGCCAGGAAAGATAATGGAGCAAATAATTAAGGAATTCATCTGCAAACACCTGGAAGATAACAAGGTGATAGGT